TTAAAAATTTATTGTCCCGTAATCATGTAATATTATATGTTCAAGCCGGTTTAGAACCGATTTTGCTTGATTCTGTTCTTTGTCGGTCATATGACCGGCGCCTGTTTTTTATTGAGAAACAAGCATCTATCCTATATCCTTTCATTTTCATAGCTGGTTTCTGGCTTCATGGAGTAGTGTTTGTGCAATGCTCTAGCTCTACAAAATACTGTGAAGACCAATTTTATTGGTCTCATTTTCTACTATTTTGCAGGACACGAGTTTATAATTACTTAGTAGTTTATGAACTGAGAGATGAATTTTGGAAGCAGCTACAATACCAGGAAAATTGGCATATATCAAATACATAGATGGATTTTGGGACAAATCTTATGTGTTTCAATAGAGTTTAATTTTAGGCTTGATTTTGACTGCTCTTTTCATTTGAAGTTGCATGTGTCTCCTATCAAAAAGGTTATCGGTATCATAAAAGTTAAATCACTTGAAAGAACGACCATTTTATTCTGAGGTAGGGGGCTGGCAGGTTTTGGATGTACAGAAAATGATTATTCTGACCGCCTTTAGTTGGAAATAAAATATTTTGACCTCATCAGATTTGCTAGCCCCATCCCCTTAATAATACAATGGTTTTCCCCTTAAAATCGTTGCCGGAGAAAAAATGTTTTGAGGTGTGTTCAGTGGTATTTCTAAGGTGTTGTGAATAGACCAACCGTACTGAACGTTAGAAGAAGAAAAATCATCACCAAAGGAATGTAACTGATGGGACAGACAGTACCCGTAACATTGAGTTGAACTGTTAGGTCTAGGATGGGAATCACACATAGAATAATCACAAAATCCCATCGAGTTCTAGGATTCCGTGACGCAACATATGTAAGTGTCCAAAGGACATTAAAGCACAGTCCTTAACATCGCTAGTGCACATCAACACCCGGAGAATGCCTCTGCAGTAATGGATCTATTACCTTGTTGAAGAGCCAAAAGGCGAGCTGCCAGATTTGCAACCTCAAAATACAGTCAAGAACCAGGGACAGTGACGGAACATCATTCAAACCCTTGGATAGCAGACTTTAGATTGAAGGCGGAATACCAAAAGACTGACGATGTTCTACAAAGCATAATATTGTACAAGTATGACTGTACCTGTAATAAACTTTTTTCAAACGGAATAGCACACCCTAATTTGTACGGTAATGTTGTTTACGATCCGGGTAAAAAGTAAAATAACAAAAATACCGAACTCCACATCATAGGTAAAAATGTAAAAAATAGGGGTACAGCAGTCAACATCGTGTTATAATACTTTAAGGCCTGGTGAGCTATTCAAAGTGATGGAAATCACTCATGGAAAGATTGGAAAAGTAGTTTGAATAAATATATTAAGGTATGGTGTGAACAAATAAAAAAGAACAATATAGCACTATTGCTGACAATTGCATTAACTACATGTCTTGAGAAGGATTGACACTTTTCAGTAGATAAAATGAGCTAATGCGAATCCCTTAGTTTGCACAACAATTTCGTTTAAATTACAATTTCATATCGTAAGCAAATAATATTCCCTGCTACATGTTTCACCTTTTACTTTTTATCTTAAAAGTTTAGAAACAGAAGAAATTACCAAATAAAGATTCTTTTAATAAGGTTTATCAATTGTCCTTGTAGTTGGACCAACATATAAACTTGAATGTTGATGGAATCTGATGTTCAGTAGTTGTCGTTTGTTGATGTGGTTCATAAGTGTTTCTCGTTTCTCGTTTTTTATATAGATTAGACCGTTGGTTTTCCCGTTTGAATGGTTTTACACTAGTAATTTTTTGGGGCCCTTTATAGCTTACTGTTCGGTGTGAGCCAAGGCTCCGTGTTGAAGACCGTACTGTGACCTATAATGGTTTACTTTTATAAATTTTGACTTCGATGGAGAGTTGTCTCATTGGCACTCATACTACATCTTCTTATATCTATTGAAACTAAGATCTATATATTGTCTCCAAACAGTAATCTAAAAGGTTGTTTAGGGGCATTTTGTAAGTTGAAACATAGGTATACTATTTTTCTCCTCAAAGAACTGCTTATTGATTTTGAAAAAAAATATTATGATTATATGACACTGAAGATTAAAAGTTGTAGAGTGTATTTTAAATCAATATATAATTTAATATTTTCAAGAAAAGGGTATTGAAAATGTATCTTTTCAACATAAAAAAGTAAAAAAAAATATTTTATTGAAATGGGGATTCATTCTTTATTGCAAAAATACACTTCCTGTATTCAAATGACTAATATTGTTAAAAGACATTTGATGGAGATTTTTATTTTAATCGGATTGCTCAAGTTATATATAAAGAGTTTTGAAATTTTACTTACTGTTTCAAACCAATTACTGACCAGTTTAACCTGAATTTTTGATCAATTACAGATGAGGATTGCACCGATTTATAAAGTAAAATATACCTTACTTAAATACCTTTTCATTTCTAGATTTCAAATTTTGTTTTTTTCTTGGGAAAAAAATCCTATTCCTTAATCATTTATCTTTCATACATAATTTATAGAATCACTTCATGATTTCCTTGATAGAGGAGTGCTGCTCACAAGGACGCTATTAAACCAAGAGTTCCAAATGGTGAAGTTGAAATCATCCCTTCATAAATTTTACGGACGCCATCACGAGTTGGTTGACCGTTATGGAATAACCGTTTCACAGATGATATCGGATATGTTCCTTATGTCTTAACTACATTACCCTTCCCTTTTCACGAAAGTGACCTACCGAATTAGACTATTTACCGGATTTGTAATAACATAAGCAACACGACGGGTGCCACATGTGGAGCAGGATCTGCTTACCCTTCCGGAGCACCTGAGATCATCTCCAGTTTTGGTGGGTTCGTGTTGCTTAGTCTTTAGTTTTCTATGTTGTGTCATCTGAACTATCATTTGTCTATTTATTTTTGGCCATGGCGTTGTCAGTTTGTTTTCGATCTATGAGTTTGACTGTCCCTCTGGTATCTTTCGTCCCTCCTTTATGTATTGTAGATCAAAAGTAATCAACAATGAATAAATCTATCATTTCAATGTATATACATTTGTGTATTCAATAATGAGGTCAAGTATTTGTGTATTGAGATGTATAATGAAGGGTCTGTTTAATTATGTAAGACTGAGGGTGATTAATAATTTGGTCAATATGATCGGCATTTAAGGAGGTGGTACATTGTAATGAAGGCCACACATTGTCTCTGATTGTTTGGTGATAATAGAAGTTGTCAATCATACTGGTATTGTGTCATTACTCTTACCTAATTAAAATGACAAAATTGCCTGCAAAGTGACAAAACTTAAAGACATACATACTTGAATGAACTGCTCCAAAGATATCACCCAAATTTTTCACAGTTCATATGTGCATATGTAAACAGACATGAGAATTATAGGGAACTAAATTTCAGTGTGTATACATTTTGTATATTTAGTAGCTAACCTGTGCTACTTTTTGTTTGACAGGGTGGTTCTTTAGGAAAGGCTTGGAAAACAGTTCCAATCTTTCCAAAAACAATATAAGGCTTTCCATTGAGCACTTTTTCCTATGTGCAACATCATTGATTTTGGGTTGTTCGACGATCATTTGATATCGGGTCTGTTTGCTCCCATAACACGTTTGCACCCCTCATTCGATCAATTACGGTTATTCTAGACAAATTTTTTGTGTGATCATAATTTAAAGCATGAAAAAAAACTGATTAATTAGTTTTAAATAACCTACCTGCCTGCTAGATAGGGACAATGGCACCTATTTCAGTATTCCCGGGACAAAAAGCAAATCTGCTGTACTAGCTTAATTATGGCAGTTTAACTGCCAAAACATTAATGTTAGTGACATGAACTGATTAAAGATCAATTTCATTAAACTGCTGTTTAAAATCCATATGTTTGTGCATGACTGAAATTTTGAAACAGGTTGTATGATCTAAGGACGTATATCAGATATTAGTTATTCGTCGTATGCATGATCTATTATAAAGCAATTTAAACATTTTATCAAATATTTCAGATTCTTTCTTTTCAAAATTTAATTCTTCTGTGATATACAGGTTGAAATGGTCATGTGTATCTGCAGATATGCTAACAAATATTTTATCATGAACAAATTTTCTATACTCTCTATAATGATGTTTGCATAATGTAACTTTAACAACACTAGAATCATGAAATAGCTACTGAGAAGAATCTGTAGTAGAAACATACAGATCTGTTCCGTTACTTGCACATTCACTGGATTCCAGACTTCTGCGTTTAGCAGGGGGTCTTACATCTTCGCTTAAGAGACGACTGTCCTGTGTCAGCCTTCAGTTGCATCACATTTCCTGCACATGCAATCTTCATCTTCTATGGTATGATGCCCAACTACATATTTATCATACTGGTGATTTGTCCTTTTTCTTGCACACATGAACATAATGCTTTGAATGTTTGGATATGTAGACCTTGCAAGGAACCCATATACCAAACATTGTTATCCTATTACTCATAATAGTAAACTTTTTGTTATAAATTAGGCCGTTAGTTTTCTCCAATGAATTGTTTTATATTTCATGTCGGCATTTTATAGCAGACTATACAGTATGGGTTTTTCTTATTGTTGAAGGACGTACAGTTGCCTATATTTGCTTACATCCACTTCATTTCAACTTTGGTGGATAGTTGTCTCATTGGCAATCATACCATATATAAAATCTCCTTATTTTTATATATGTACATGTATAGTTGAAAAATAAATGAATGGCCACCTATATTTAAACGACCTAAATCAGTTAATTGGTAAATTTTTAATTATTCAAAAATGCTTAATTCCATCTCGTATACTTTCGACATTACTCGTTACCTGTTTGTATGCATAATTTATCGTTCGTATTTTAATCTCCTTTGATTGGTTGAATATCTGTTCACTTCTGGCAAATTTTATATTCCCTTGTCATTTGAATTAGTTTACTGGTCAATTCAACTCAACATGTTTAATTTAAAACACATCTTTATGCTTTGTAGATTTTATAAAGTTTGCATATGTTGTTACAAGTATTGTATTTATTGAATTATAATGAAGATAATGGTCATTTTTCTTATACAACAATCCGTAAGCAGTCCTCTTAAAAAAAGAACAGGGTTATGTAACAATGGCTGGTAAGGTGTAGCCACTTATACTACAGTAAATGTCATTGGATTATCTTCAAAAAACAACGCAAAAATTATCTATGACCAGAAACACAAGGGTGTCAACTTTTGTTTTGATGAAAAAATGTAAACATTTTGACACAGGAAACAAATTCATTTTCAATCTTGTAGACATTGTTCACATTGTCAGGATATCATGCATGATAAGTCATGTGGAAATAATTGTTTAAATATGTTTTCTATACTTACTATTCTATGTTTCAGTTAATTTAATGTTTGAATTTCCTAAAGAATGGGACATCTTTCTGATAAACAATGACAAAAAAATATAGGTGGCGCTGATTATAGGCGTGAACATTTTACATACTATTTGTGTTGACAGATGGACCTTTATTTGTCAAATTGAGGCGTTAACCGTTCAACTGATTGAGTTTATTGCAAATACATGTAGGAAAATACATATGATACGGGTTTAATAAAAAAAAAACCAATTATTTTGAATATATGAACAGTATCAAAACGGTCTAAAACAGAGCAAAAAAGAAAAAACAAGAGTATACACACTGAAATGTCTTGCCTGCTTTACTTGTAGTGATTGAATTTTTGTTATATGAAGGTTTTACTACAAGTATCACATAAACTTAACATTATCAATGACCCATGTAAATGAGGTCAAGGTCAGATAAACCTTGCCAGACAGACATGTACACCTTACAACCATACCATACACCAAATAAAGTTAGTCTATAGTTTAAAGTATCTTACAAACAGACCTATTCACGAAAATTGAACACTGACCAATGAACCATACAAATGAGGTGAAGGTCAGTTGAACCCTGTGAGACAACATGTAAACCATACACTTAACATTGTTGACCTATTGCTTGTAGTATATGAGAGACAAACATAACCATGAAAATCAAACATTGACTAATGAACAATGAAAATGAGGTCCAGGTCAAATGAATCCTGCCAGACAGACATGTACACTTTACAATCATTCCACATACCAAATATATATCTATTACTTATAGTATTTGAGATATATACTTGACCACAAAACTTAACCTTGATCACTGATCCATGAAATGTGGTTGAGGTCAGGTGAACCTTGTCTGACAGACATGTAGATTGCAAGGATTCAAATGTATACTAAAAATTATTAACCTATTGTTCATAATAAGTGAGTATTTCACATGACAAAAAAACTGTACATTTTTTCCAAGCAGTTGCTGAACCATCAAAATGAGGTAAAGGACAATGGACATACAACAGATGGAAACTTCGTAATATAAAGCATCTGCATACAAGGTATTAAGCATCCAGGTCTTCTACCACCTGAAATATAAAGCTTTCAAAAAAAAGTTTACACCACTGCTGCCAATTATTAATCCCAATGGCTCACGTTATGTGACTTTCATGGCAGGCGAGACCAAAAACCAGAAATAAAATTGCCTATATATATATTTTAAAACAAGAGTGCACTATACTGGCCATTGATTTTATGTTGATAGTCCTAAATATAAAGTTTTACTACAAGTACCACATTAACATTTATGATCCAAGAAAATGAGGTCAAGGTCAGATAAACCAAGAAGGAAATACATATACACCTTTAATACAATTATTCCATACACCTAATATAGATGACCTATTGCTTATAGTATAAAAGAAACAGACCAAACCATGGAAATTTTATATTGACCAATGAACCAGAAATGAGTTCAAGGTCAAATGAACCCTGCCAGATAGACATGTACACCTTAAAATCATTCCATGCATCAAATATATTTGACCTATTGCTTATAGTATCTAAGAAACAAAGTTAACCAGGAAAACTGAACATTGACCAATGAACCATGAAAATGAGTTCAAGGTCAGATGATACCTGCCAGACAGACATATACACCTTACAATCATTCCATACACCAAATATAGTTGACCTATTGCTTAAAGTTGAAAAAAAAACAGACAAAAACACAAAAACTTAACATTGAGCAATGAACCATGAAAATGAGGTCAAGGTCAAATAAAACCTGCCAGATTGACATGTACATCGTAAAATACTTCCATACACCAAATATAGTTGACCTATTGCATACAGCATTAGAAAAACAGACCAAAACACAAAATTTTTTACCACTGAACCATGAAAATGAGGTCAAGGTCAGATGACACCTGCCAGTTTGACATGTACACCTAACAATCATTACATACACCAAATATAGTAGACGTATTGGTTATAGTATCTGAAATATGGACTTGACCATGAAAACTTAACCTTGTTCACTGATCCATGCGATGAGGTGAGGTCAACTGAAAACTGTCTGACAGGCATTAGGACCTTGTAAGGTGCGCACATACCAAATATAGTTATCCTATTACTCATAATAAGAGAGAAATTAACATTACAAAAATCTTAACTTTTGACAGACAGAAACTTCCTATCATAAGGCATCTATATACAAAGTATGAAGCATCCAGGTGTTCTATTGAAATATTAAGCTTTTAAGAAGTTAGTTAACGCCACCGCCGCCAGATCACTATCCCTATGTCTAGCTTTCTGCAACAGAAGTCGCAGGCTCGACAATAAACACATAATTTTTTTATACTTTCAAATAAATTTCTATGCTCTGAAATGTTCATAAGAAATGTTTATTTGTTCTGAAAATTAAAAAAAAAATCCTTTTCTCCAGGACAAAAACATGATATTCAGAACTTAGGCATTTATAGTGATCCTTCTGTAAAAATGACCAACATTTGTCTTCCCTCTCAATCAGACTTCATTAAAAGTTCAGTAAAGCTGATGTCCATCCTTACAATTGCCTTTAACTGTTACTCTTCATGACTTTAACATGTCCAAAATCTCAGGCAATGTACAGACAATCATGTAACCTCATCATAAATTTTACATGTCCAAAATCTGAGGACATGGACAGACAATCATGTGATTTGATGTTGATAACATGCTATCCTTAGTAAAGACTCGTACATCTCAGATCTGTCTGCTGCTTTCAATATGTTATATGGTCTAGTGTAGGATATAGAAGACCTTCCAATAACTTTATCATCACCAAGAGCATCGTCAAGTACTTCTCCTTCCAGTTCTTTTATAGCATTTATATGACTTTTGCTCATTTCAAGGGCAGTAAAAATAACCTACAAAAAAATTATGGTCATATATAAACATCACTCAAGTAGGTATCCATGCACTAAACTCTTGAGTAGCAATTACTTCAGGACTGTGAAACACAATATGATATTCTGAAAACTAGAGGCTCTAAAGAGCCTGTGTTGCTCACCTGTATTTACTGATGCTTTGTAAATCATGTAAAATAAGGTTAAAATCATAATTAATAGTATTAGATATAAGTTAATATAATGATATCTAAGATAATAACAAAAAACTGCAAAATTTCTGTAAAATTACTAACTCAGGGGCAACAACCCAACAACGGGTTGTTGGATTCGTCTGAAAATTTCAGGGCAGATAAATCTAAATCTGATGAACATTTTTGCCACCTGTCAGATTTGCTCTAAATGCTTTAGTTTCAGAGATATAAACCAAAAACTGCATTTTACCCCTATGTTCTATTCTTAACCATGTCGGCCATTGGACAAATTTTTTAAACTAGATAACCTAATAATGATTATGGCCCAGTATGGTTAAATTTGTCTCAGTAGTTTCAGAGAAGAAGATTTTTGTAAAAGATTACAAAAATTTATGAAAAATTGTTAAAAATTGACTATAAAGGGCAATAACTCCTAAAGGAGTCGACTGACAATTTTGGTCATTGACGACTTATTTGTAGATCTTACTTTGCTGAACATTATTGCTATTTACAGTTTATCTCTATCAATAATAATATTCAAGATAATAACCAAAAACTGCAAAATTTCCTTAAAATTACCAATTCAGGGGCAGCAACCCAACAACGGGTTGTCAGATTTGTCTGAAAATTTCAATGCAGATAGATCTTGACCTAATAATCAGTTTTACTCTATCCCTATGTCAGATTTACTCTAAATGCTTTGGTTTCAGGTTGCACTTTGTAAATACAGCTGTTTCTCAAACCACGCCTCTTTTGGGGAGATATTTAATATTCATAGGTATGTTAATTTGTTAACGTACTGGTTCCAATTGATGATCTCTGTGTTTCATAGTAAAAGTGTCAGAGTTTTAGCCGCAAAGGGAGTTCCTATGGGAAATTGCATTGTCTGTATTTACAGAATTGCAACCTATATAGGGTTAAAAAATGGAACATACAGAATTTCACAAAATCTGGATTATCTCAGAGATTTTAAAGAATTTAACTCAAATATGAAGTTTTATAAATATTTCATGAAGATTGAGAAAATCCTGGGCCTTAACTATGATGACTCAGCATAAATTCACAGTTTACAGTATGCTTGGTTTACTTAAAGCCCTGAATTCAAAATAAATTCATAATATATGCCTATTTGTAATTTAAATTGTTTAGAAGTGCTTATATTTACTCTTCGCAGTAATTGCAACTCATTGATCCTTCCTAAATATTTTTAGTGGGGTGTTTTTTTCCTGTCGATAACCCAAAAGTAAGCCGTAACGCCTAAATGTGTTTTTTTGTGACCGCGGCATAAAAAAGTACAAGCTAGAATTACAAAAAGACCTCAATAAAACTTACAATAGTGTGTTCTATCCTAAATATGTAGTAAATATTCCACATTGCTAGAAACAGGGAAAAAAATTTGGAATTATGAGGCCCCAGGGGCAAAAAACACAAAAAATGCCTACCCCTGAGTCATAAAACAGATAATTTAACTTGAAAATGCTATGATTTTTTTATTTTAAAGGTATTTTGTAAAGTAAACAATAACTGTGCTAGAAAGTTATGCAAAAATCAGATGTTAGCAGTCATTTCAATCAAACTTTTAGTGAATTTATGCACCAGACTGATATCTTCATAAATACAACTTTTGCAAATATGGCTTTGTTTAAACACTTCTAGTTCATATATTAACTAACTTATGTTAGATATATGGTTAGAGATGATACTGTTGTGACAAGAATTCTAAACTGACCATTTGAGGCAGAAATTGTGAACTTTCATTGACAAATAGGCATACAGTAAGATGTGGACTGGAGACACATGCAGGATTGGATACTTTGTACAGTCTTGAATGTTGGAATGCTTAACTACTAAACAATACATTTATAGTATTCTAAAATGCTTTCAATTTGTTATCAGAATAGTTTCACACAGGTTTTAGACAGTTCATGTCAGAAAACATGCACATAGGGTAAGCTGGCAATAATTAGAGTCTTGTTTTCAAAATCTTTAAAAATTTGAAACAGGGGTAGGGGTATAAAATGTACTGTAAAAGGAAACTTAGAGTATATGCAGTGATTTCTTTAAGGCTATAATTCTGATAAATAAGTATTGTTGTGAGAAAAAGTGTTTTTAGAGAGTTTTCTTTTTGAATAAATGTTTGTATAGGTTGCACTTTGTAAATACAGCTGTTTCTCAAACCACGCCTCTTTTGGGGAGATATTTAATATTCATAGGTATGTTAATTTGTTAACGAACTGGTTCCAATTGATGATCTCTGTGTTTCATCTCATAGAGACATCACTTGGGAATGTAACCAGTATAGAAAAACATGGTAGCGGCTAAATTTTAATTCTTAGGAGGTCCAAAAATGGAGGTAAGGGTAGTATAGAATTTTAGTATAAGTTTAAACTCTTAGAAGTTCAGGGCATATAAATGTTGAAAATATGCCGCACAGCCCTATATTTTGACCTTTGAATAAAATAGTAGTGCATATAAACTTTCCGTTCTGGGATATCATTTTTCACGAAACTTCATAGTAAAAGTGTCACAGTTTTAGCCGCAAAGGGAGTTCCTATGGGAAATTGCATTGTCTGTATTTACAGAATTGCAACCTTCAGAGATATGTCAAAATCTACATTTTACCCCTATGTTCTATTTTTAGCCATGGCGGCCATCTTGGTTGGTTGGCAGGGTCATCGGACACATTTTTTAAACTAGATACCCTAATGATGATTGCGGCCAAGTTTGGTTAAATTTGGCCCAGTGGTTTCAGAGGAGAAGATTTTTGTAAAAGCTAACGACGTCGACCTTTGGGCCAGGTGAGCTTAAAATGTAACATAATATTCTTACTTTGGAAAAGAGAACATTTATAGTTGATTATTACCATCAACATAGATGTCAAAGGGAGATAATAGTCTCTTTTAATTCCTATGGACAAAAAGGGGGGGGGGGGGGGAAAGTTTGTCTTAAAAAAAAAAGGCAATGTCTAGTTTTGGTCATTTGGAGGAAAAGATTAGAGAATATCAGAAAAAATTGGAGATATATATACTGTAAATTCAGAAATTATTGCGAGGATTTTATTAATGCGAATAATGAGATTGGGTGAGAATCGCAATAATAAGAACTCACTTTCTGATATCTGATACATGTACATACATCTGCTTGTAGCTATTCCTGAAATCACAATAATTAATATTGCATTTTTGTCCATTCTTTAAAAATCGAAATTATAAATGCACGCAATCATTTCTGAATTTACAGTAATCAATTACATTTAATTTTTAATATGTATTTGACATGAGATTTTGAATGCAATTAAAAATGGAAAAAATTGAATTTGAGATTTATTCTTTAAATTCATATTTTCAGTGATAACCAAAGAGAATTAAAATAAAATGCTTCGCTGAGCGCAGCTGGATTCAACCGCAGAGGTCCAACCCTGAACAGTTGGGGCAAAAATGGACACAATATTCGCGCTTGATACCGGTCTGAATTTGGATTGTAATTAAATATTTGACACATAATAGGTTTCTGACACCGAATAACTGTAGTCAAAGAACTTAGAATTGGTTATACGATTTGAATTTATATTTTTTGTGCAATACACTATGCTGTTGCGAAATTGACCCCCCCCCCCCACCAATTAAAAAAGAGAAAATTGTTTTACCCCCCCCCCCCCTTTTTTTTGCAAAAAGAAATAATATTTGAAGAAATTTTCTTTTTTATTTCTGAAATTTTGAAAACTTGTATTCATAAACACTGCAATGCTACAATATTGCATACAAATTTTCATTTTATTTACAATTGCAGCTTCTACACATCCAGTGTGCTTTTGGGAGCATGTTTTAGTCTAACGCATTTTTAGTGGAACCACTCTAAGCAGCCATCACAAACGAGTGATGCAGCAATGTGCACATTGGTTTTGCAGAATTAACAGTTCCCGCTGCAATATCCACTTTTGAAGCTATAGCACCTTTCAATGTCTGCCATATGATAAATATTTTTTTATTCTTGAAATGTTTTTCGCCTTTGACACTACTTAACTATAGTATTATCTTGAAAAACATTAAACAATTATTAATACTTAAAAAAAATTTAAACATTATTTGTTGAATAATAATAATAATAATAATAATTATAAAAATAATAATAATAATATTATTATTATTATCAAGTATATAGAAGAATTAAGCTACAAAACTACAGTAGGTTGAAAGTTTAATAAATCTAACTTAATGTAACATAACGCAATGTAACCGTAGAAAGAAATGTTATTGTTACGTACGTAATAAATCGGTTCCTTACCCAACAAATCATTCCGGCAATTAGTGTCCAACGTAACAATACCTTTTTTTATTATTGTTACATTTCAAAGTAATCGTAGCCAGTGTCATTTCAGTTTTCGGTAAACAGGAAGGTAATGAGAAATGAATCTCAAAATGGAAGCTTCATATTGTTAATCAATTAAATACAAAAAAGCTTTTATTTTAAAACAGATAACTTGGCAAACAATTTCAAAAATTCATATCATAATGAACATATGTGATAAGGTTAAAGTTGATCACAATTTCATGGTTAACTACCTACAAATGTATATAACCAAACAATTTAACCTGAGAATGTAAGGATTTCAAACTACATGTATCACATTTCCATGTTCAATGAACCATAAAATCATGTCAAAACCATAATTTAGCATATAATTTCAAAGTTATAAGTTGATGTGACCACAACTTCATGGTAAACTACCTTTTAAACCAAAATCTTTAACCTGATACAGGACAGATATACTCATGACAGAGAAAGAGAGAGATGAAGGAAGGACACACAGTGCTCAGTACTAGTTTCTCAGGTTTGAGGAAAAACCTTATTTTCATCTTCGCTAGCCAAGGGTTACGATCCAGTCCCCTCCTCTCCACCCTTGGCAGATTAAGCCAACATTTGTGATTACAATGCTGCGCCATCTACCAGTAGATAGAAGTCACGCCCATTTTGACTACATCATTCTTGACCAATGGCAGCGCTTGAACTCTCTTCAGTGTATAATCATGATAATGGTGTAAAAATGGTTGTATGTAGTGTTTACAAATTTTGTGATGTATATACGTTGACATTCTAACATTTGCTCAGGAAAAACATACCCAGAAACACTAATTAGTTGATTAAGAACTTTAAAATTGTCACTACATATCGTCCTATGTTTTGGGGGTAAAGACTTGTAAAATCTGCACGTGCCAATTGTTTATTTACATTTTCCACATTTACACATGATCATCTTAAAGGCGCTTTTTGATTGGATGCAGCCAGTTACAACTGCGACCAATAGAAATCATTACCTCGTGGATCCGAAATTCTATCTAAATCCGCCGAGGGTGGATAGGATGGAACTGGATCGTAACCCTTGGCTAGCGAAGAGGATTGATATTTGATTACTTGGTTTTGTCTGCATACAAGCCAATAGAAAAATGATACATCTTTGAAGATTTAAATTTGTTGTTTACCCATTACATTGAAATCCACAAAAAATTGGTATCTCACCCAAGGATCCGGAAATTTTTCCAGACAATTTCGGTCATTTTGAGATGTTTGAAAAGTTGGTGCCCCTTTTCAAATTGTCGATATTAACTTGAATATATTCATAGCATCAACGAACATGACGAAATTGTATTGCTGTTTCATCGCATTTACTAAGTAAATGTCTTACCATTACCATGAAGGACAGTTTAGGGAAGGCAACAGTCTAAAATTGAAATGATTTTCATGACTCAAAATGGTTAATTTCTCAGACATTGCATAAGTTTCTTTCGATTTGACAAAAGATAAACCGGAAGTTTGCAATATTTTAAAGTACGAATAATTTCGGATTCATTTCAGGGATTTGTTTTGTTTATCAAATTGACAGGAAATCACCGGCTTTTTATGGCTTTTTTATTTTATTACCTTTAAAAGTGTTTGAATATAACAGATAATAGTTGCACTCGTTTAATTTAGCATGAAATCAATTTTCATTTTACGATTAAATATTAAATTTGCTGAAGACAATTTCACGCATGCGTATTACATAGTAAATAAAGCACATGTGTTACTCATGCATGATGAAAAAATACTTTTTTCTACGTAAATTTAGATTTAATTTTTAAATCAGAATTGACGAATGTCTTTGATGAAAAGTAAATAAATAATGAATACACTTGTCAGGGAAGTTTAATGTTTTAAAGATATTATTCTGAGCTTGTGATCACTGTCAGGTGTGAATTAAAACCACAGGTAAAAAGTGATTAGCGATAATTAGCCAATGTTTCCCGGAGGCATTGATATAGATATTAGGAGGGCCCTCAGGATTATAAAACTACTGTAGTGGCAGTTTTATTACAGGAAAGGGATTATAAACAAAAAAAAGTGATCACAAGTGCAAAATGGCGATTAAGAAATCCGATTTCAAACATTGACAATGAATGACCGAAATTACTTCTGTAAAAAAATAAAATTTGTCCTAAATCCCAATTACTCGTTTAGGACAACTAGTTTCATCTTAGGACATGACTGGCAAATATGACCGTTTCCGGACCCTTGATCTCACCAATAATAATGAGTCTACAGTAATCTATTGTCGCTTCAGTTTTATCATTACCTGTGTCCCTACACACATTGCTCCAAAAACTAAAATGCTTTCATCTTCTTCATCTCCAGTTTTCTCAAAACATGAATCTTGTATTTCAAGCAACAGATTTCCTCCATGTTGTCCAATTATATCATATGGATACAGATGTTCTATTTTAAAGTCATGAGGACTTGGTAATGCAACTTTCCTTTGTTTTACCTAAAACAAAAACCATTATTGATTATTATAAATTACATTATATATATTATATATATACATCAATTATATAAATTTGTGAAACTGGAAATATGTAACTTTTTAATCTTTATAGCAAAAATGCAGGTTTGAACATTAATGCTTTGATTTAATTTGTTATACTCTGCTTTTCTTAAACAAAAGTGAAGTTTATACATAAATAGTATATAACAAATTATCAACAACAGTGTGCATGCTGAAATGTCTCACCTGCTTTACTAACTTATCATGATTGAATTTATGTTGAAAGTTTGTAATATAAAGTATCAGATAAACTTAACATTATCAATGATCCATGTTAATGAGGTCAAGTTCAGATGAACAGTTGGACATGTACACCTTATAATTATTCCATATACCAAATATAGTTGATCTATTCCTTATAGTATCTGAGATACGAACCATGAAACCTTAATCGTGATCACTGATCCATGAAATCAGGTCGAGGTCACTTTAACCCTGTCTGATGGACATGTAGACCTTGCAAAGATCCCATATACAAAATATAGTTATTTTATTACCTATAATAAGTGAGTATTTCACATGACAAATTAAAACTAAACATTTCTATCAAGCAGTGGCTTAACTATGAAAATGAGGTCAAGGACAATGGACATTGGTTCATGTCTGTCATATTTGTTTTTCGGAAATTGTTTTGTTATAAATTAGGCCGTTTGTTTTCTCCTTTGCATTGTTTCACATTTTTCTTGTCGGGGCCTTTTATAGCCGACTTTGGTATTGGTTTTTCTCATATTTCAAGGCTGTACCGTGGCCTTTACCGGTAATTGCTTACTACCACTTCATGTTAACTTTGGAGGATATTTATCACATTGGCAATCATACTACATCTCCTCATTTTTATATATGTCAGACGGAAACTTTGTAACAGAAGGTATCTGTATACAAGGTATGACACATCCAGGTTTTCTACCTTCTGAAATATAAAGCTTTATACAAATAGTTTATGCCTCCACCACTACATACGGTAGTAATCCCTATGTATCGCATTCTTTGACTTTCGTCGTAGTCGTGACAAAATATTAGACAGTACAACAGACCACATCAATCAATAATACCCTACTCCTCCTTAAAAAAAGATAACATGTACAAATAAAGAAAAAAAGAAAACAAAATTTAACAAACAACATTTAGTCCAGATGGTCTGACTTGGTACAGACACAACATGTGGTGGGGTAGTAATGTGAAAAGATACATACGACTTTTGTTTTCACAAATGGACAATGTACGACTTGGGGCCAAATTGGCCCTGAAATTAAATAGATTTCAAAGTATCTGAGATATTCAGAACTAAGTGCCAATCTGCACAGAATTTGAAAATATTGACTAATCTTAATAATTTTTTCAACAGTTATATACAATTTAAATTTCTACTTCAAAGAATTCAATGGAGGTGGTGCATTTCTTCTGTTGTTGAGTATATTTTAAATCATGATGAAATATCTTGAAAATAAAAGGCAAGGTATGGCATAATTGCACGATAGGGTAAAAATTACACTGACCACAACGAGACAAAATGTTTTTTAAGATACTGTGCCAAAAATTGTATTTTTCAGATAAAAAGGAGATCCTCTTTGCCCCCACCTGAATCCGGAAATGCTGTTTTTGTATGTTACCATCAGCAACATTGTATTAATTTACTACATACCCCTCCTACTAACATCACTGTTTTCATGTTACCATCGGTAATATTGTATTAATTTACTACATACCCCTCCTACTAACATCACTGTTTTCATGTTACCATCAGTAATATTGTATTAATTTACTACATACCCCTCCTACTAACACCACTGTTTTCATGTTACCATCGGTAATATTGTATTAATTTACTACATACCCCTCCTACTAACACCACTGTTTTCATGTTACCATCGTTAATATTGTATTAATTTACTACATACCCCTCCTACTAACACCACTGTTTTCATGTTACCATCAGTAATATTGTATTAATTTACTACATACCCCTCCTACTAACACCACTGTTTTCATGTTACCATCGGTAACATTGTATTAATTTACTACATACCCCTCCTACTAACACCACTGTTTTCATGTTACCATCAGTAACATTGTATTAACTTACTACATACCCCTCCTACTAACATCACTGTTTTCATGTTACCATCGGTAATATTGTATTAATTTACTACATACCCCTCCTACTAACATCACTGTTTTCATGTTACCATCGGTAATATTGTATTAATTTACTACATACCTCTCCTACTAACATCACTGTTTTCATGTTACCATCGGTAATATTGTATTAATTTACTACATACCCCTCCTACTAACACCACTGTTTTCATGTTACCATCGGTAATATTGTATTAATTTACTACATACCCCTCCTACTAACATCACTGTTTTCATGTTACCATCGGTAATATTGTATTAATTTACTACATACCACTCCTACTAACATCACTGTTTTCATGTTACCATCGGTAACATTGTATTAATTTACTACATACCCCTCCTACTAACACCACTGTTTTCATGTTACCATCGGTAACATTGTATTAACTTACTACATACCCCTCCTACTAACATCACTGTTCTCATGTTACCATCGGTAACATTGTATTAATTTACTACATACCCCTCCTACTAACACCACTGTTTTCATGTTACCATCGGTAACATTGTATTAATTTACTACATACCCCTCCTACTAACACCACTGTTTTCATGTTACCATCGGTAACATTGTATTAATTTACTACAAACCTCTCCTACTAACACCACTGTTTTCATGTTACCATCGGTAATATTGTATTAATTTACTACATTCCCCTCCTACTAACATCACTGTTTTCATGTTACCATCGGTAATATTGTATTAATTTACTACATACCCCTCCTACCAACAACACTGTTTTCATGTTACCATCGGTAATATTGTATAAATTTACTACATACCCCTCCTACTAATATTGTATTAATTTACTACATACCCCTCCTACCAACAACACTGTTTTCATGTTACCATCGGTAATATTGTATTAATTTACTACATACCCCTCCTACCAACAACACTGTTTTCATGTTACCATCGGTAATATTGTATTAATTTACTACATACCCCTCCTACTAACATCACTGTTTTCATGTTACCATCAGTAATATTGTATTAATTTACTACATACCACTCCTACTAACATCACTGTTTTCATGTTACCATCGGTAATATTGTATTAATTTACTACATACCCCTCCTACTAACATCACTGTTTTCATGTTACCATCGGTAATATTGTATTAATTTACTACATACCTCTCCTACTAACATCACTGTTTTCATGTTACCATCGATAATATTGTATTAATTTACTACATACCCCTCCTACTAACATCACTGTTTTCATTTTACCATCGGTAATATTGTAATTATTTACTACATACCCCTCCTACCAACAACACTGTTTTCACGTTTAGTTCAGTTATCTCATCTATGCAACACCTTAAATATGGTTGAGAAGTAATAACAGACTTTCCAATCTTCATACTTTTCTTTTTTGATTCTCCATCCCTGAATATAAGATATTTTGGTACTTGTTTTAATAATCAAAAGAATTTTTCACTACTGCATTTTTTCTTACCTTATTCATTGTAGACATGGTGGTTGAATGGTCTAGGTAGTAATTTACAGTAATCACAAGACTGTCAATTCTACTGTTGTGTGTTCCAATCACACTTATGGCATTTTCTACTTCTATCTTAATTGAAAAGGATGACCAGTTTTCCTGTTGTTCTCTCCATGTACTCCTGCTTCCTCCACCAACAAAAAGTGAACACCATAAAGTAGCCAATGTCAATTAAAAACGTGGTAATTAACACCAACCAAGAGATCAATATTATATATAACATGTCCAAATAAAATTATCAAAGATACCAGGCTTAAATTTTGTATGACAGACACACCCTTCATCTAAAAAAAAACTCATTGGTGATGCTTGAATCAAAAAAGTTTAAAGGACGAAATAGAATTGAACAGACCTAAAACTATTCTTCTTAACTTTAAAATGAGAAAAGTTGGAAAGTTTTGAAAATGCAAAATCCCTTTGTCATGTTTGTTGTGAAAATTATATTTTTCATGATTAATTTCTTTGATGAAATCCAATTTTTACATATTTAGGGAATTAAAAATAATGCTATATCAGAAAGAAGTAAGTTTTTCAGAGTGATTTAAAGATGTGTTACTCAAAGAATTCATCTGAGAAGAACAGCATTATATCAGTGTAATGACTGTTTGATAGATTGCTGCTTAAAAGGAAGCTACCCCGTTACGGAACCAAGAGTTCATAGTGGCAAAGTTGAAGTTATCCCAGACCATTTCAAAAGTTTTAGGGACACCATGATGATTGGTTGATCAGGGATATATATAACAATTATCACAGCCACTACCTTATTGTTATTGATTGGAACTTGATGCATGATGATTATGGAATGATACTTATCAACAAATTTGTACTTACTTTGAGTAACACAATGATTGCCATAAGTAAAGGGGGATCAGCTTACCGCTAAAGCACCCAAGATCCACCCAAGTTTTTGGTGACAATGGCAGAGTTTGGGCCGGGGAGGGGCTACATATATGGTTAACACATGGACTTTTCACAAGTCCCACTCATAAGGTTGACTTGTTGACAGGCCACCTATTCAAAGTTTTGGCTATCTGGGTGGGGTTTGTTTTGCTAAGTCTTTAGTTTTATATGTAGTGGTTTGTAGACTCAAAATGTTGTTGGTCTTTTTGTAGTTTTTACATTAATTTTTTTTAAATTAATAGTGACAGCATAGATTTAAATCTAAGCACATCTCCTGTTGTTCTAAATGGTTTTTTTCTGGTTTTAGCGTGTTAAAGGGCTGATGTCCAATTGATATATAGTCCATGTCTCTTTGTATCTGATCTACAGGCCAATAAACATAAAGCAAGTTAATTAATAGTTCTCTACAGGATATAATGCAATATTCTATTTATAAAAGACCAATGTATATAATATGGACGATAAAATCACCTCATTTTTTACCCAAAGATATACCTTATTAAACTTTCATAAGTAGGAAGAATATGCTAGACACACAGGTCAAATTCTGTAAAATGGACCTAGAAGTTTTGAATATTTTAAGATCTGCATCAAAACCCTCTTAATAAACAACAATGAATATTTGTATGATGATTTACAATCTAAAAATCTATCTTTACATGCTGGTTTTCAAGTTAATCTGTAAATCATAACATGCATAAAGAAAATCTTTCACAATTTATTATACACTTTTAAAAAATACATGAAAAAATTAATTTCATTTGACTGTTTTTTAGGCTCTCATTTATATTTTTATAGATAAAAAAAGTGTTTGTGGGGGGCATATTAATAACATTGTGTACATGGCCAAAAAAAAAAAAAAATAGGGTATTTCAATTTACAATGATTTATGGTTATCTTTTTTACTTGTAGAAGTCAAAATTTGAAATATTTGTTGAGAGGAAAATAAACATGATACGCTCGTCGTCTTGTGTGTGAATTTTTATGCAATAAGCATGAACAGTTTCTGACATACGGCATGACATGCGAAAACCCCCTTTTTTTTTTACAAAAAACTCAACATCTCTAAAATAAAATTTTGAATCAAAACCAAAAAGTATAGAGATCTTTAGATTAATATAACTAAGAAGTGTGTAAAATTTTAAGCAATAATCATAAATCGTTTTTGAGATACGGCGCGACATGTGAAAACCCCCCCTTTTTAAAAAAAAAAAATCAATATCTCAAAAGTAAAATTTTGAATCAAAACCAAAAAGTATACAGATCTTTAGATTTATATAACTAAGAAGTGTGTAAAATTTTAAGCAATAATCATAAATCCTTTATGAGATACGGCGCGACATGTAAAAAACCCCTCCCCTTTTTTTACAAAATACTCAATAACTCAAAAATAAAATTTTGAATCATCACCAAAAAGTATACAGATCTTAAGGTTAATGTAACTAAGAAGTGTGTAAAGTTTTAAGCAATAATCATAAACTGTTTTTGAGATACGGCGTGACATGTGAAAAAAACCCTCCCCCTTTTTTAACAAAATACTCAATATCTCTAAAATAAAATTTTGAATCAGACAGACGGACGGACAGACGGACAGACCCCGGACATTTGTATAACATAATACGTCCCGTCAAAAATTTTACGGGCGTATAAAAAGGTATCAAATCTCATCTGACTTGTAGTCTTGTAGAAGTCTGGCTTTTTATTAATGATGGGAGGTAACTCATGACATTAAATATTCAGACTTCATAAGTCAGTAAATTCTGACTTGTTTCTGTCAGAGCTTAGACTGCATGAAATGCATGTACATTAATTTGTACGTGACAAATCTTCTTTTATTCATACGTACATTAAGTTCAATCCACACATAACAAAAAAGTCCCTAAATAGCTGTCTGCATACCACATCATTTGAAGTTCCTTTCCGGTTTTCAAGCATAAAATAGATTAATTTTTCACCAAATCCATAGATTCCATTCCATTTAATAGCTTCAAACATACTGCAAGAAAGCATACACAATAAAATATTATAACAGTATAAGATAAGTTAACAGAACAATAGCTCTTAAATTAGTATTTCTTAAAATCAATTATACAGCAAGTGTACAGTAAAACCAAGGTGCACTTCTGGAATAGAATAATTAAGATGTATGGTGTTTAAGAAATTCCACTGTAACTAAATATATACGTCATTGGAGCATTTTAAGACTAAGTAGATTTTATTATTTTGTTTTTATTTGCTATACCATTTATATGAACCCCATCTTCAAATTTTCTTTATTTTTGCAGCAAAAAGTCTTCCAATTTCCACAATGTCATATTATATATATATATATAACAGAACTAAAATTACACATTTGACATATAATTTTCTAGCTGTGGAACCGTAGCTGTTAGGTCCTTATGGTATTTTTTGACAATGTCTTCAAATTATAAAAAAAAAATCATAAGGAACCAAGAGCTAGCCTTCAGTTCCCCAGCTAATAATTTTGAAGTTGGATGCAGACCAAGCTTTTCGCAAACTAATGCAAAGTTAATGCTGTGTGCACATTTTCATACATGTACATATACGTAAATCTAATACACATTATCGCTATTCATTCCATTCCGGGTAAGTTCTAAAATTACACAACTTTTTCATCCAGTTGAAGCTATCTGGGGCCCTGTTGAAACAATGTATCATGCATAATACTTTTTAAAGAGACCTGTTTAAACCATAGTAAACACTTCAAACAAAATATTTTTTTTACTTTAATTTGAGTTTCAAAAAGTGGATCATAATTTCAAAGTTTCAAAGTGTTCGCTTTCTAAATTTTTTCCTCCCTCAGCTTGTTACTGATGACCTTTGTTTTGGCACCGGATGACCCAAACAGAAAGTTGTCTAAGTGACTGTTTTTTCTGGATTTGACCAAATAGCGATAAGGTGTATTCAAGTTTTTGTGTTTTCTATATTTACATATAACATGTATAACCTGTCTAAATGATAATTTCTAATGTCTACTCTAGTTTACCTTGTGTTTGTTTCGTTGTTAGTAAACAGGAGGGTAACAGATGTCACGTTTACTCTTTATGTGCACTTGAAAGTTAATACTACAGTGTGTTTGTTATGTATGTCTTACTAGTAGTCTGTTGTTATTTATGTATTATTGTCATTTTGTTTATTTTCTTTGGTTACATCTTCTGACATCAGACTCGAACTTCTCTTGAACTGAATTTTTATGTGCGTATTGTTATGCGTTTACTTTTCTACATTGGCTAGAGGTATAGGGGGAGGGTTGAGATCTCATAAACATGTTTAACCCCGCCGCATTTTTGCGCCTGTCCCAAGTCAGGAGCCTCTAGCCTTTGTTAGTCTTGTATTATTTTTAATTTTAGTTTCTTGTGTACAATTTGGAGTTTAGTATGGCGTTCATTATCACTGAACTAGTATATATATTTGTTTAGGGGCCAGCTGAAGGACGCCTCCGGGTGTGGGAATTTCTCGCTGCATTGAAGACCTGTTGGTGGCCTTCTGCTGTTGTCTGTTCTGTGGTCGGGTTGTTGTCTCTTTGACACATTCCCCATTTCCATTCTCAATTTTATGTAGACATGATAGATGCACATGTTAAAAGATAAAAATTTCTGAAATATTCAAAAAGAGTTAATTTCATTACCCTCTTAGAAAGTTTTCCTCTCTTGAAATATCATCTGCAAAGAGATGTCTAACCGTCTCAAAAGTAGCCTCTTTTGCTTTCGCAAGTGACAATTTTATATTGTTTACATCCTCCTTAAACCGTGTTACCCGGTCTGTACTTTGATCAACAGGTTCTTGGTATTCGCTTGCGTCAAAATCTAAAAAATAATCCAATACTCTAGCGAGAGGTTGAATTTTAGAGGAATGCGTTGTAATTTTTGAATCATAACATAATGTTTTATTCAGAAGAAACTCCAAGTCACTGACATGTTCTTTTTCGTAAAAAAGTCCAAGTAAGTCAAGCTCAGTTTCTTTCCAACAATATGTTTGGGGTATAATTTCTTCAACTAGCTTCCCTGTCTTTCTTTTCTTGTAGCATGGCGAGGATGCATCTACGAACATGATTTGAATGGCAATATTTATACGTGTCGTAAAAACTTTTCGACTGTCATCAATTTGGGGACACTACTGGAAGGGAAAGGAAACGAATATCATGTTTATCGTTACACTCGCACAACAAAACTAGATATTTTTTCAAAACATGAACTAGATGACAAAAAGGTAATGCAATATTATCAAAATATCATTTAATCGAAGCAACAGTTGTGTCGTCATGTGTGAGAACCAGACGAAAACGTATTGTAAAGATGTAAAAGGAGAAGAGTTGTGGTAGAAAGGAGGAGACGGTGGGAGAGAGGAGAAGAGGGGTGGAGAAAGGAGGAGAGACAATTTACTCCTTTTCAGGTCACTTTTTGGTCATTGCCCTCTGCGCACTAAACACGGCCTTCGAGTTTGCAAATGCCCAAGGACGTTGGCATCAAAGTCTGTTGATTCTTTACTAGGCAAAATCAGAGTATTATTCATAGACGAGGGCCGATCAGGAGAGTGGAATCCTATGCTTCTTACGGGTATCCCGGCTGCCTCACATTTGTTAAAAAAACATTTGCAGGTCATAAATCAGGAGCAGGCTAACGCCAACATTTCTGTAAAACAAGCTACTCCATTAATGTTTAGTAAGTTAGGAAGGTTATGCAGACATTTATCATATCGAGTTTCAGTAGAGGTAGATCCTATTTCGAAATTTCTTTATGCAAGAGACCTAGCTTATTTTTCAATTTTATGTCATTCTGGTAGCAGATAGAGGGGGCGACCTTGGTTTATTGACTGCAGACAGATGTTTTCAAATACCCGACTCGGAGGGGATTTTTGTGTCGCAAACGGCTGGAAAAGTTGCCACTTTAGATAATCCAAGAAATTTCATAGTCCTTCCTTCAAAGGACTCTGATATTTGTCCGGTCAATAACTTTAAAAAAAAATACACCACCAACGCTAAGGAGTTAAGCATTACTCATACTGAAGGGTATGTTTTCCGTATACGAGATAAAGGGTCACGCAAAAGTGTAAATGAACCCAGTGGCGGATCCAGAGGGGGGGTTCCGGGAGTTAGAACCCCCCCCCCCCCATTTTTTCGGACGATCAATGCATTTGAATGGGGACATATAGTTGGAACCCCCCCCCCCCCCCCTTTTATCCTGGGTTGGGAACCCCCCTTTTTAAAATAGCTGGATCCGCCCCTGGAACCGGTTACTTCATCTTGCATGACAGAGAGACTTAAATTGCATTTAAATGTGTTGAAATTATACGAAGGGGAAACTTCCCACAGCAGTAGAAGAGGATGTGCAATTACATTACGTATGCTAGGGGTTAATGATAAAGGAACTAATCAACATGTAGGGTGGGGCAAAAAAAAAAAAATGGTTGATCATTATGCCAATGTAGGGAAATTGATAAGTCCTACAGGGCCGGGTTCAATTTTGTCGCAGGCTGCGGAAAATTTGGATAAGGGAAGTTCTTCTTTTGATAAAGTTGCAAATCAATATACTGGTTTGAGCAAATTAAAAAGTTTCAGTTTCAATTAATTATGTTTGTGTTGAATACAATTAGGGTAATATAGCCATGCATGTTCTGACATGGAACATACTTCTTTTTTACAAGTATTGAATATGTTTTATGATGGGTATAGTTGTATAATAATGAAGTTGGAACATTAAATAAGGTTTTGTATTTAGTTAGTCAGTTATGTAATATCAGTTCACTGAGGCCCGTTTATACATCGTTGGTTTGTTGAATCCAATATCTTATATATGAGAGGAACCGTTGTGATCTTGTAATATTCCACTATTCCAAGTCTTCCCTTCGGTACCTCGAATGTATAAGATAGCACGCTCACTCTTAGTCTCATCATTACTCGATTGGAGGTCATAAGTAGAGCATGATCGTTATGTGGATCGAATGCACAAGCATTGTTGATTGAGCGGTCATATGCTTCAGAAAAAAATACATTCAAAAACAAAAAAAAAGGGCAAAAACAAAATACAAAAATAAAAACAAAAACAAAAAAACAGCGAAGAAAACAAAATTGGAACTCTGTTAGTTAGTTGTCTCATTTGATATTTACCATATCCCTTGCTTTATGTGGAGTCATATTAGGGATGATGCAGTATAGCAAAGGTACTCGAGATATGCACATATGATAAAGGTGTGGTCCATGTAAAAATTTAGGTAAGCCCCGCCACGATGGTTTTCAACAGAAGGACATTGTACTTGTTATTTTTTAGCGGTGTTCGGATATTATGGGATATGAAAATGATATATTCATTAGATAACAATATAGCCAGTATTTGGTCTACTCGTTTGGTGTTGTAGTTACAGAAATTATGACTATTACTAGTACTGGTTTTAATAGATGGTAAAATTGCTATAAATAAGCGATAACTAATTTTAAACTGATGATGTGCATTGTACCTGTGGGACAGTTTTTGTCAGTCATGTTGCTACACAGTCATTTTGTTCGAATACCGAAACGGGTTTTATGTTTTCAAACCATGATTGGCTGTATTGTTCACCACGAACATTTGAACAAGTCAAGTTGTTACACCGGTGATTCGTTGTATACTTAGTCTCTTTTTATGTTGTACAAATATGAGTCAGGATAGAATACATTTTAAAGTTGTCAAATGGTCGATGATGAAGAAAGCTAGAGGTAGAATTAAGAATTGGAACCATAGAGTTATGGAAATGTTTAAAACTCATTATTTTGAAAACTATTGTAATTTTGAATCTAATGTATTAGATAAGAGTATTATTGTACAAATTCAAGTTGAAACAATAATGTTTGATAAATATAAAATAGATTGGAGTAATAGAGTATCTACGTATGCTCAAGGTAATAAATTAAGAACATAGTTATCTAAATATGATTATTGTACTGAACCTTACTTAAAATGTAAATTGCCACCTAAATTTAGGAGCGCTTTTGCAAAATTTAGATGTGGAGTTGCTCCCCTTAGAATAGAAACAGGCAGATATGAAAGAAAAGAAATACTTGAAAGAACGTAATAATAGTACCGAAGATGAACTACATGTTTTTATTTGTAATAATAGTACTGAAGATGAACTACATATTTTATTAAAATGTCCACTATACGAAGATCTTAGACACATATTGTTTTATGAAGATGCAAATTTTAATGTGGATTTTAACGTTTTATCAGATAATGAAGAGTTGATTATTTATTCAATAACGATGAAAGTGTTGCCAGAACCTGCTATAACATTTTAATCAGAAGAAATGGTTTTTTATATAATAAATATGCTGTATTTTAATGATATTCTTAAACAAATATATATTATATATAATATGTACATTATCAAACTGTATTTTAATATTGCTTGTACAGTCTCTCATAAATCTTTTAAGATTGGCACATACAATGTTAATGTAATGTTTCTTGGTATCTGTTTTATGTACCTGTATGAATATTTTATTGTGTAAATATATGTAATTGTATGTGGCCAGACTATAATAAAATATTGAATCTGAATCTGAATCTCGTGTATTATTTTCTAGTAAATTCAAAAGGCTTTGTGATTTAAGTTTTACAGGATGTTATTTAAAATTTATTACTCTCTGACCAGGTGTGCTCATCTGATGTACCCTGATCTGTAGAGTCTAAAAGTATTTTGCAGTATTCTCTAATTTGATTATCAATGAGTTTGAAATTTTTATTACGGTCCAAAATGCATAAGATATCGCCAAAAGCAGAAGTGATGAATTCAGTGATATAATTCAGGACAAATATTTTAATGCTCCCTTCACGTATAGCTAATGATCAGAAACAACAGCTCCGGATCTGAAAACCAGAAGTATTATTAACGGACTTTGTAATTACATTAAATCGTCATACGCCGCCGCAGCCGAAAATATTTAAACAATAGGTGCACACGCTGAAATGTCTCGCCTTCTTTACTAATCATTGATATTATGTTGATAGTCCTAAACATAAAGCTTTATTACAACTGTCACATAAACTTAACATTAACCAAGTAAACTAAACATTGACCAATGAACCATGAAAATGAGGTCAAGGTCAGATGAACCATGCTAGGCAGGCATGTACAGCTAACAATTCTTCCATACAACAAATATAGTTGACCTATTGCTTATAGTTTAAGAAAAACAGACCAAAACACAAAAACTTAACACTGAGCAATGGACCTTGAAAATGAGGTCAAGGTAAAAAAAAACCTGCGTGACTGACAAATATATCATAAAATATTTCCATACACCAAATATAGTTGAACTATTGCATATAGTATTAGAAAAAAAGACCAAAACTCAAAAACTCAACTTTGACCACTGAACCATGAAAATGAGGTCAAGGTCTGATGACACCTGCCAGCTAGACATGTACACCTTACAATCATTCCATACACCAAATATAGTAGACCTATTGCATAGAGTATAAGAAAAACAGACCAAAACACAAAAACTTAACTATAACCACTGAACCATGAAAATGAGGTCAAGGTCAGATGACACCTGCCAGTTGGACATGTACACCTTACAGTCCTTCCGTACACCGAATATACTAGACCTATTGCTTATAGTATCTGAAATATGGACTTGACCACCAAAACTTAACCTTGTTCACTGATCCATGAAATGAGGTCGAGGTCAAATGAAAACTGTCTGACGGGCGTGAGGACCTTTAAAGGTACGCACATACCAAATATAGTTATCCTATTACTTATAATAAGAGAGAATTTAACATTAAAAAAAATCTTAACTTTTTTTTCAAGTAGTCACTGAACCATGAAAATGAGGTCAAGGACATTGGACATGTGACTGACGGAAACTTCGTAACATGAGGCATCCATATACAAAGTATGAAGCATCCAGACCTTCCACCTTCTAAAATATAAAGCTTTTAAGGGAATACGATACAGTAGCAGGGGCAGTTAATAACGTTTTCAAAACTGTTCGTGTTGTTTTCGCGACGTTGTTAATCAGAACGTTGTAATTTCGCGAAGTTTCTAATAAGAAAGATTACATTTCGCGACGTCGTTTTTTAAAAATGTAGTCACATTTGCGGAAAATCCAGTGACGTTACAAATCCGGTTGCGCGAATTTGAAAAAAAAGTACCTGCCAAGAAAATCGGCCATATCACGAAAATTGTTATATTCATTCATTAATATTGAGGTCAACAGTATTAACTTGAAATGTGAAAAAAAAAATTAAAT